CAGGGTTGACCCGGGTCAACCCGGGGGGTGGGGTGGGGTTTTAAAACACTGATAAAAAGTAAATGAAGAAGAAGAGAAAAAGAGAAGATGTAAGGGTGTGTTAGAAGTCCCACATTAGACAAGTAAATAGAGGTAAAAAGGTTTATAAGTCTCTACCTCACCTCTTAATTTGTCCCTTATGGGACTCCACTATTGTGGAGGAGAATTGAAATTTGACGTCAAAGATAACTTATGATATTAAATAATATTTTTAAAATATATAATATAATTTATATTTAATACATAAAACAGTCTATAATAAGTTATATAACCAATCAAATATTCAAATTTCATAACATGAATATAAAGCAAAAGTAATTTTTTATACTGTTATCGACCCGTATAAGGGGCCCATTAAGTGATAGGCCCAATAAGGGGCAATTTAATATCTGAATCAGTGATAATCATGGATAGATATCCATCAAGGATACCAATCCTAATACGACAGCATAGCAAGCAGGCCTGGACCCTTATCAGAGACACCAAAAGCCCATACACACTACCCACAGGTAACCTCTATAAATATAAGATAAACCCTAAAGGTATGTTACGCTCTCTCTCTCTCTCTCTCTTACTGTTATGCTGTCACTGTGCGCGCACACACACCTCATTGGCTAACGCCGTTATAGATACTTTGGAGAGAGCACTAGATCCAAGAGTAACATACTAGCCTATTGAGCTAGACATCTCTGTCTAAAGGACAAAACATATACCTTGTTAATTTTCTAAGTCAAATTCCATAACAAAAAAAAATTAACTTATAAATTAATTTTTTATTTTTAGTTAATAAAATAAAATTTAGAACTTAAAAATAAATAAATAAATAAACGTCTCGGATTCGTATCTGATCGTTGATCGCGTGTCGGAAACACGAGTCAGAGCGTTGATCAGGTGTCCCAAAATGTTAACCGCGTGTCAGACGCATGTCAGAACGTGTCGATGTCCGACACATGTTTGACACGCAAATATTTTTTAAAAAGGCGTGTCCGTGCATTCTAGAAGATAACTATACAAAGATAACTTTTGTGGAAAGATTTATCAAAGATTTTTTTAAAAGGTTTATCCAAGATAATTATACAAAGATAAATTTTGTGGAAATGTTTATCTTTATGATAACGATGTCGAACTTTGAAATTTGATGTCAAATTTAAAGTGTAGATTTCCGTCAATCAATGGTTAGTATTTATTGAAAATTCGAACTATATTTGTGAGAGATAAAATATGTGAAATGAGGTGTCATTGCATAGACCTCAAAAAATTATGTGAAATCAAACAAAAAAAACATCTAATAATCTAATTTGGATATCCAAATTAAAAGTTAGGGAGAAAATTTAAACTCTCGACTAGATATAGCACTTAAATAATAGAATTCAATTTTATGATAGGGATTCCGTAGGACTTAGATATTCAAACACCACTATCTCTCTCTCTCTCCTCCTGTTGAGATATATAGTTCCACATTGATTGTGTGGGCAACTAATGTGGCCTTTATAAGGACTTGGGCACTCCCACCCTTTGAGCTAGCTTTTAGGGTGGTGTATCTCAAGGTTCTTTACATGTATCAGAGTCTCACCGTCTCCCGCTTTAAAAAGTGGAATTAAAATAAAAAGCACGGAAAGGTAAACCAAAAATTGGGCCTGTGCAGTTCCACGCTTCTAGCCCAAAGGGCTCTTGCGTGAGGGGGCGTGTTGAGATATATAGTCTCACATTGATTGTGTGGGCAACTAATGTAGCCTTTATAAGACCTTGGACACTCTCACCCTTTGAGCTAGCTTTTAGAGTGGTGTATCTCAAGGTTCTTTACACCTCCTTTTAACGTTACAAATCGCTTATCATTTAGTCTGAATAGAATAATTTAAACGCACTATGTGAGACCATTTTTGTAGAGAAAAGTCTTCACATGAATGAATGTGCTCAGAGAGATTACTCTCCTCCATTATTGGTTTGGGCAGGGAACATCAGTATTGTCTATATTGGAATTTGGCATGCAAAGACATTAATTGATTTCAGAACAGATGGCATCAACGTAACAGCATTTGTCGCCACAAATTAAAGTCCTCTTTCTGTAACAGCGTTCCCACTTCCAGTTCTTTCATCATTCCACAATTATTTCATGAAAGAAATAACAGAAAAATTCTTTTCTCTACAGAAAGAGATAAATTAATGATTCCAAACTCGTAATATAATGTCGACACCCGTATGCGTTTTGTTCAAGTTCCACTCACTCCCTCCTCGACGGCGTTTCCAAAGTTCAAACTTGAAAAATACGTTTTCTGGAATATATATGGTCATTCAAATATATATCCCCTTGTTGAAAGGTCGGGTAGAAAGCTTAACCTATAGCAATTAATTTTTATTTCAATGTGTTAGTTTTAGCTTGCTTAATTTCCACGCAACAATGAATTCTTGACAAGGGAGAATATTATATGGAAAAATTGTGTGTGATTTTAAATGATATAAAGTTGTATAATTTTAAAAGAGAGAAAGAGATAGATAAATGAGGAGAGAGAGAAAGAGATAAATAAAGGAGGAGAGAGAGAGAGTTGAAAAAAAATAAATGTGTGGATCTCACCTCTTTGTGAGAGTAATCAGATATAAGTTGTGTCATTTAAAAGGAAAAACACTTTTTTCATATTATATCCAACATGTCTTGGAATTCTTACAAGAATGCAATCAGGTTACAAACAATCATACCTTAATTCACTTAATTTATAGACTGAAGTTATATTTACCACTTCTTTTTACTTACAACCAAATCTTAATTGTTAATTTTCGTCAATCTGACGGTTATAATCTATTAGGATTTAATAATTAATTAATAAATGTGAAATAATAAATTATAACCGTTAAATTTACAGAAATTAATAATTAAGATTTAATTATAAATGTTTGTAAGAGAAAGAGGTTGTAAATATAAGCTCTCTAATTTATATGATATTACAAATAATGACAATAAACGTTGGCTAAGTGACTAAGTCACTGAGATCGAATATCATTGAAAAAATTTAACCTTAACTAATTGTAAAAAAAGTTGAAAGTTAACCACCTGCAGTACAAACAATGTTGTATTATATAATTCATGCTCAACGAAAAGGAAATCAAAGGAAAAGAAATTAAAGGAGAAATAAAATTACCAATGAAAGAGAAAAGAGAGTCAAAATCTAACAAATTTTTTTGCAGCTCTACAATACCAGGTTTCCTTCTTCAATTCCAACTTTCTCTCTCTACGTTCTTTCTTCTGTCTTCGTTGTCACTTCTTTAATAAGATTATAGTGAGTGTTACGTTAAAGGCATGAATGAGGAAGAAAGGGGGCAGAAGGGTGAGGGCTACGTTAGAGGCGTGAATGGAAAAAAAAGGGTAGAAGGGGAAGAGATAAAATTTCTCTAATACATCAATCTCTTATCAGGTCTAATCCCATCTCCCTAGACATGATAGAGTTATACATCATTTTGATGTATTAAGTAATCTTGTTGTATAAGCTTATACTATATGATGGTCACATCAAACAACTGAAAATGTGATAATGTATAATATAAGCTTATATTATCCATCGAATAGGCTGTAGGGGGTTAAGCAATATAGAAAAATTTTATTCTTGTAATGGTAGGATCAAGTGATCTGCACATACTGTTATTTTTTTTTGTTATTTTTTTTGAAACATTACTGTTATTTTATTTGATTTAATTGAAAAAGGAAGAAGGTACAATTACCCGGTATATAGACCCTTCTGATCAACACGAGGAATACTCGCCCAAAACCATTTTCTTCGTTTGATTTTGAAGTTTTTAGACTTCAACAAACGTCAGATCAGGGGCTTAATGTTAATAAAAATACTTTAGAGGGTTGGTTTAGAAATGTATTTTTCCGTTTAGAATACGCACTGCGCGCACATGCCATCACGCCTTTGCTTCATGCCCTAACGTCCTAATCGGTCATCACCTGTGATCACCTCTTCCATAGCTTATCACTAATCGGCGGATTCAATAGATATCAAATACATTCCCTTCGAATAAAGTATACCAAGTAAAATATATGTCATTCTATTATCTTAAAATCATAAGATTCGATTTGTTAAAGAATCAGAAGTAAACAAAATAATTTTTATTTTAACTAGACATTCTGTATTGACATAGGATCTTACTTAAATAAATTAATTTTGTATTGACAACTCATTTAATGAGCTTGATTATGTTAATAATTATGTAAAACGTCAAATCAGTTAAATTATATAATAAATATGATTACATATATTTTATATAAATATTATTACATATATAAATATATATTTTCATTAATATTACATCAAAAATAAAATTTAATATAAGAATAGATTATTTTTATTCTGTCGAGCAGACCATAAAATTAAAGGAAATTAAATGTCTGTATCTATAATTGCCTTTACTGTGTTAACTATGAATGCCTCTAATTTCTAAAATATTAAAAATTAAACTAGTTTATACATGTATGATAATTAAATTTTTTATTTAAATATTTAGAAACATAATATTTTACATGACCAGGTCCCACTGGCTCATGGTAATAACAATTAATGAAATCAATCAACACAGCATACCGCAGTAGCCACTTGACGAACTTATAGTCATATATGGCGGCTCTTTCACCAAATTAAGTACTTACAGTCCCCTTTTTTTTTTTTTCTCCCTAGTCAGTCCCCACCGCTAGCCCCACCCCTCCACCCCCTACATGGTATCAGTTTAAATTTAAATTTCCCTCCATAGGGGCCCCCACAGTACTCATTTCATTTTTTATAGACCCTCTTTTGGTGAAAGAGCCCGTATATATATGGCATTTTACATCCCTGTATTATCCAATAAAAAGAGTCATATGTGGCTTAATTCCCCATGCTTTACGTGACAGATACGGTTCATTGAATATTCAAGCCTCGCTGCCTATATATAGCCAGGCACGTTAAAACCCATACTTCACAACCAACCTGTGAAAACAAGAACTCATCACCACTCACCAACAATGACGACCACCCGTGTTGCTCTCTGCCTTAGCTTTGCATTTCTCTTCTATGGTATATATATTTCAATTACATTTTCCATTCCTTTATTTTCTTTATAATAGACATTCATGCCTTATAAGTCATAACATTATTTATATTTGTAACAATATATACATTCCTCTTGTTAACCGTATATATGATCCTCTCATGTGTTATTTACTTATTTAATATGGACATGGCCATGTAATATGATAGAGTCCTAGCTATTCATGTGTTATTTACTTATTTAATATGACGATGTAATGTGATAGAATCCTAACTAGTAACGTTAAATAATACATGAGATAATTTATTCCCTTCATGTATATTGATTTTTACTCCCATTACTTTTTATGATATAAAATAGTTCTTTTTTAAAATCTAAACACAACTTCATTCATAAAATCTTATGAAACAAATTTATTTAAAATTTATAATATTATAGATAAATTAAATGTGTATTCCTAATTACTTATGAGTTTGGTTTTGCATACAGTGGCTCAAGGAGCCAAGGTTACTTTCACAAACAATTGCCCATACACAGTCTGGCCAGGAACCCTAACCGGTGACCAAAAGCCTCAACTGCAAACAACCGGTTTTGAGTTGACAACAGGAGCATCCAACTCCGTGGACCTCCCATCACCATGGTCAGGTAGGTTTTGGGCTAGGACGGGGTGTTCGAACAACAATGGAAAGTTCAGTTGTGCCACCGCGGATTGTGCCTCCGGTCAAGTTGAATGCAACGGTGCCGGTGCAATCCCACCTGCAACTTTGGTAGAAATTACGGCAGCATCAAACGGAGAACAAGATTTCTACGACGTGAGCAACGTGGATGGGTTCAACGTGCCAATGTCTGTGACCCCACAAGGTGGGAGTGGTGAATGCAAAACCTCAAGCTGTCCAAACAACATCAACACCGTGTGCCCTGCGGATCTTCAAATGAAAGGTTCCGATGGAAGCGTGATTGCTTGCAAGAGTGCTTGTTTGGCTTTCAACAAGCCTCAGTATTGTTGCACTGGAGATTTCAACACAGCAGAGAAATGTCCACCAACAAAATACTCTGAGGTTTTCGAGCAGCAATGTTCTGATGCTTACAGCTACGCTTTTGATGACAAGAATAGCACTTTTACTTGCTCCTCCAATCCTGACTATGCCATCACTTTCTGTCCTTGAAGTCCTCGATCGCTACATAATAGACTTTGTTATGCTTCAGTAAAAAATAAGTGCATACTGCAATATATATACTATGAGCCACACAGTACGAATACAAAAATCACGTGCTTTCGGTGATTGTATTGAATCAACATCCAATGAAGTTTTATTTTTATACTTTGATTGATTAGGAGTGGTATTTTTGTTTTTTCTGTTTACCTTCATTACACTTTCATTATCTTATAATTTTGGAAGGGTGAGCCTCAATTGACAACAAGTGGCTTCTTGCTAGGCAACGCAATCCTACTTGTGGAAGCGGCATACCTGTTAAAGAATAATATAAACCCAATACGTTAAGGTTTTGGATTTAAATAGTTCTTTATATGATATCAGAGTTTTAGTGATCACAAGGTCACGAATTCTATCCTCACCGCCATCCACTTTCTAGTGAAATTGTTAACAAAATAGTACCATACAAAGAATATACATTCTTATTATTTCCTCCTCCTGAATAGAGTTTATATATACAAGATGGTAAAACAACCATATTATAAGAATAGGCAACAGTAACAACTTTATCCTATCTACAAAATACTAACAATCAGATCATATTCAAACTAGCCTATTCTTATCTAATAAAACAATATTTTAAATTCAAAACTTCTTTTCAACACTCCCCGTCAAGTTGGTGCGTGAATGTTTATCATGCCCAACTTGCCAATCAAATCTTCAAAGACTCTCCCTGACACAGCTTTAGTTAACACATCTGCAAGTTGATCTTCAGACTTAACATAGGGAGTTTGAATAATCTTCCTATCCAGCATTTCTTTGATGAAATGTCTATCCACTTCGACATGTTTTGTTCTATCATGTTGAACTGGATTGTGGGTTATTTCTATTGCAGCTTTATTATCACAATATAGATTTATATGCTGATCATATCTGATTCCCAGATCATTTAAAATGCTTTTAACCCATAATAACTCACAAATTCCATATGCCATTCCTTTATATTCTGCTTCAGCACTTGACCTTGCTACCACTTTTTTTTTTCTTGCTTCTCCATGTGACCAAGTTGCCTTCTACGAAGGTAAAGTATCCTGAAGTTGATTGTCTAATAGTTTTATCACCTGCTCAGTCAGAATCAATATATCCTTCAACACCAGTCTTGTCATTTTTACAGTATACGTGGCCTTTTCCTGGTGTACCCTTTAGGTATCTAAGGATACGATAAACTGCATTCATATGTTGTTCACTAGGAGAATGCATAAATCTGCTTACAATGCTCACAGAATAAGCAATGTCAGGTCTAGTATGAGATAAATAAATTAATTTCCAAACTAACCTTTGATATCTGTTCTTATTTGCTTCAACTTGATCTGGGTAAATGGCAAGGGAGTGATTCATCTCTATTGGAGTATCGGTTGGTTTGCAAGCCATCATTCCAGTTTCGGCTAAGAGGTCCAGGATATACTTTCTTTTTGACAAAAAAATTCCTTATTTGGATCTTGCAACTTCTATTCCAAGAAAGTATTTCAAATGGCCAAGGTCCTTCATTTCAAATTTAGCAGCCAACCTCTTTTCAAGTAGTTTCATATCTTCTATATCATCACCTGTTAACACTATATCATCTACATAGACAATGAGTATTGCTACCTTTCCATTACTATGCTTTATGAATAATGTGTGATCTGAATTACTTTGCTTATACCCAAACTTCTTCATTGCCATTGTGAATCTTTCGAACCACGCTCTGAGTGATTGTTTAAGACCATACAAGGCCGTGTTTAGTTTGCAAACCACATTTTCTTTTTTTGGTGCTAGCTTTATTTCTGGTGGGACCTCCATGTAGACTTCTTCTTCTAAATCTCCATTCAAGAAAGCATTCTTGACGTCAAATTGCTTCAAAGGCCAATCTCTGTTAGCTGCTATAGATATCAGGATTCGAATTGTGTTGAGTTTAGCCACTGGATCAAATGTATCTTGATAGTCAACACCATATTTTTATGTGTATCCTTTCGCTACGAGTCTTGCTTTGTATTTATCAATGCTTCCATCAACCATAAGCTTTACAATGTAAACCCATTTGCATCTGATTGTCTTCTTGCCATTTGTTAAGGAAGTTAATTGCCAAGTCTCATTCTTTTGGAGAGCTTCCATTTCAATGTTCATTGCTTGCTTCCATTTAGGATTTTCTAACGCTTCCTGCAAACTATTAGGAATGCATACAGTGGATAATTGATCAACTGTTAGAGCATATGATCCAAATAATCGGTGAGATGATACATAACTACTAATGAGATATTTCAATTTTGTTTTTGGATCTGGTTCATATGTTGCTCTTGGTATACCTTTATTGGGCCTTTATGATTTTATGGTTTGTGGAGCAGGTATTGGAGAATTTAAATGTAGGAGAAAATTTACCTCAGTAGTAGACTGACGATGTATTTCAGGACTGTCTTCATCAAGTGATTCAGTTATGTGAGGCATACTTTGTTGAGCTTCATAAGGAGAACTTTCATTCAAATGACCAGCTGCTTCATTCAGTGGAGGAGAATTTTCATTCAATTGAGCAGCTTCAGATGTATCAGAAGGGAAACTCGAATTTGTGGGCGATGTTGGATTAGAATTTGTAGAAGTGGTTAACCAGAGATATTCTTCTCCAGTATATTTATTCTTCCCCTAAGAAGAAGGAGAGGTAACTCCCCCTGAGTAAAAGGATTCAGATTCTCTAAAGGAGACTTCAAGGGTTACATACATTTTGTGAGTTTTTGGATCATAGCATCTGTAACCTTTTTGAAGATCAGAATATCCTACAAAAATGCATTTCCTAGCACAAGGTTCAAGTTTATTTCTGAGAGGTTTAGGAATATGGACATAAGTGGTACAAACGAAGACTCTAGGTTCCAAATTCATTTTGTGAGGGATAGAGAAGAAAGTTTCAAGTTTCTGGTGTGGGGTAAGAAAATCAAGGGCACTAGAGGGAGTGCGATTAATTAAGTAAGCAGCGGATAGAAGAGCTTCACCCCAGTAGGAAGATGGGACATGGATATCAAATAAAGAGGCTCTCACTATTTCCAATAATTGTCTATTTTTTCTCCTAGCCAATCCATTTTGTTGAGGTGTGTAGGTACAAAAGGTCTGATGTTTTATCCCAGTAAAGGATAAGAATTCAGAAAAAGGTCCATTTTTGTACTCTAATCCATTGTCTGATTGAAGGATTTGGATTGAACTTTTAAACTGGTCTTGACCATATTGTGAAATCTCTTAAAAGCATTAAACACTTCATTTTTAATTTTAAGCAGAGAAATCCACACCATGCGAGTACATTCATCAATGAAAGATACATAATAGTAAGAATGAGAAAAAGAGGGGACCTGCAAACATCAGAATGGACAACTTGAAATGGAATGGTACTTTTATTCATACTGGGATAAAAGGAAATACGATGGTTTTTAGCCATTTCACAAGTAGAGCAATGAAAATTAGAGAAACTACAATTCAAAAATAAATGTGGAAGTAATTTATGAAGATAACCAAAAGAGAGGTGTCCGAGTCTTCTATGCCAGAGCCAAATAGCCGAATGAGATGCTGGAGTAGTAGTAGATGCTCTGCCAGATACACCAAGGTCACAATCCGAGAGTTCAAGAAAGTAAAGGTTGTCATGCCTAACACCATAGCCAAGAATCATTTGGTTCTGGACATCCTGAAAAACAAAAGGTAGGCCAAAATATAACAGTGCAATTGAGGTCAGATGTGAGTCTACTAAAAGAAAGCAAATTGAAATCAAGGGTAGGCACCACAGGAACAGAGGTAAGAGTGAGTGTAGGGGATAAAACAATACTGCCCTGACCCGTAACATAGGCATACCCACCATTAGCAGTGGTAATATTCTTCTGATTGCAAGGACAATAATTCAGTAAGGAAGATGCATCACGGATCATGTGATCAGACGCTCTAGTATCAATAATCCAAGATGAATTCTGAAAGTGAGTAGAGAGAGCAAGAGAGTTACCTAGGATGCCTTCATACACAACATTAGCACGAGGAGAAGGAGAAGTATCACTGGCAGTGGATGATTTGAGTGCTTTGGAGGGCATTTTACGGCGAGGACGTTTGTTGAAGTCCCACCAATCTGGGTATCCAATAAGTTCATAGCATCTTGATTTGGTATGACCGGATTCACCACAGTGAGAATAGAGGACAGGTTTGCCATTAGAACCGTCTTTGATAGGAGGACCATCTCTGCAGGTTTTGTGTGGAAAGAAGGAAGGAGAAGAACGATGAACCTGAGATAGGAGAGCCATAGAATTAGAAGAGGGCTAAGGGCGTCCCATGGCGATGCGTTGCTGATTTTCGCGCCTGACATAGGCATAGGTACTTTCAAGATCCAACTTTGGATCCTTCGGAAGAATCTCGCCCCAAACTTGATCGAAATTGGAGTCTAATCCAGCAAGAAAGAGATGGACTCGCATGCGGGCCAAGGAGGAGTGGCCTTGGACTACGGTTGTCACTGTAGAAGCAGGGGATGTCGTTCGGTGATCAATTTCCTGGAAGATTGATAAAAGCTCGTTGTAAAAAAATAGAGAGTGAGCAGCCATTTCGTTTGATGGAGAAGGACCGTTGGTTGAGATCAAAGAGGCACCTGTCATCGGTCCCGTCGTAGAAGGTTCGTCGTGCGGCTTCCCAAATTTCATGCGCGGTTTCCAGGTTTTGACTCTCTTATTGTCTGTGACCCAGCCATCAAGAGCGGAATCACCAGAAGAAGGCTTCATCGTCGTCCCATCAAGATATCCGGTCTTGTTTCTAGCCCCTATTCTCATATCCATCAATTGCGATCATAGTGGATAGTTGGTATCATCCAGGACCACGGTAATGGGAAATAAGGATGTTTCCTGTTGAATAACAATGTTGGAGGACGGGGAAGGGATGGTGGATAAAGATACTGGTGATTCAGTGTGAGGGGATTCAGCCATGGAAATAGATAGGGAAAGGACGTCAGTGGTTGGGTTCGATTGGGTTTAGCTGGTGATTCAGTGTGAGGGGGGTTCAATTGGGTTTTTTTTAAGGAAATAAAAAAAATTCAAGAAATGGGGGTGGGTTACGGTTGATGAGAGGTTTTGATATTTATGAGGGAAGAGAGAAAAGGAGGTAC